CTGAGAAGAAAGTTCGAGATGTGCTGGAGCCAAGACGGAGGCCTGCAAAGCTGTACTTTGGGCTGGCAGAACCACCACTTTGATTTATCAAGTATTAGAAATAGCTGTTGCTGCAGGTCAGGGAGACAGATTTCTTCTGTGGAAAATGTTTTTCAGTATTTTAACACAAACTTTAACATGAATAGCTTTTCTCAGAAAAGTCTAACTGTGCTTGTGTAAGTCCTGCAGCAAGCTTATTTAGGGTAACCTTAGTTCTAATTCCAACTCTGACAGTGGTGCTAAGGGCCCTCCCTGTTAGTTTTAAGGTACCTGAAATTGCTTAGACTCAACTCTTCCATCTTCTCTATCATCTGATGGATTTTCTTTATAAGGACTCAAGAAGAGAAACACTGACAATACCATTAGAAATAACATTAAATCCCCCACATCTTTCATATGCTTGGATTCTTCCTTCTTTTTAAAGGGTAATAGCTGCAGTAGGGAAATGCCTTTGCATCTCTATGAATGTTATAGCTGTTGTCTGCCTGTCCATATAATTGTTCTAAATTGTTTAAAATTAGTTGTTAACTAGTTTTAAATTAATACAGTGCATTGCTTGCACTATAATTTCATCTCAAATTGCGAAACACTGCACCTATAAAGCAGATCATAAATTTCTACATCTAATGTTAAGCCTCTAGATCCATACTCAGACTCCACAAAAGGAAGGTTTTTGTAGCATTTTCCCTGCCCCATGTCTGTTCCACTTCCCCACCACAGCCCTGTGCCCCTGGAGTGCTGCTGGAGCAGCCTTTCCCACGTCTGCTCACGTGTCAGTCTTGCTCCATGGTTATGGACTCTCCCCTCCCAAGACCCAGCACTGGCATCTCGTGGCTTGGGAGTTCAGCAGCTGGAGATGTGGGTAAGGCTGTAGGTCTGTGAACATCTGAAAGTGGGGGGAGGTTTCTAGCAAATGAAGTGCAGCTGGAAATCCAGTGGTTAGTTGTGAAGAAGAGCTTACTCAGTTTGCTTTTTGTTCCTTAACTAAAACTTCAGAACAATGTCAGCTTTCAGACCTGCAAGGCCTTTGAGAGCTCACTCACATAATTCTACTAAAAGCTAAGTGATCCTTCTGCAACAAGGCATTTAAATAAATGTGGTGATTATATATGGCAGTTTATCAAGAGGCAAGGTTGAAGGCATAAATGTAGTATTACTGATAGGAACAACTCCCTCTTCAGAGGTTCCAGAAACTTCCTGTGTTTCAGCTCAAGCACTTGTGAAATGATACATCTTCATATTTTTGATCATTACTTCCACTGTTTAATGTAATTCTGTGTGTAAAGGAAATGAAATGCTAGATTGGATTATACATTTATTTCAAGATTTCACTTTTTGTGCAAGGATCTTGCAGAAGTAGCAAGTTCTAAGGTCTACTGATAACCCACCAGTTTCTGCAGAAACAAAAGTTTTCATTTTTAATTCACCCCATCAGTTTCAAAGATGGTCCAAATCACTTCAAGCTGAGGCTGTCTTGATTCTGCAACTGCAAGCTGTCATCAACCAAATTAATCTCTGCTTTATTCCCTTTGTATTTAACAGCAAGTGATTCACCACCCCATCTATTTTACTGGTGTGGAGAATCTGGAAGATTCTTCTACTGGTGAAGATGAAAATGTAAAACTTGTTAAATCATTTCAGTGCTAGTGATTTGAATGGCTCCTTACAGTGATACATAGGGAAAAAGACTGCTTTCTTTTCTGGGTTTTCCTCCATGCTTTGTGCTAGCTCTTGTTCACTTGGTTGATGAAAGCTCTTAGCAAAACAGATATTTGCCCAAACTTTACTTCCAAGACAATTTTCATATTTCAGTGGAATGACAACCAGAAGTAGCTGCTGTTTATTTCGGGAGGAAAGGATTAAGCCAGAAGTTTCCACACAAATGCAGAACAGAACCATTTGGAATAAGGCGTTGCTGTCACAGGGTTATCAACAACACAGGTTTCTAGATAGAGTTTAAAAAAAATCAGATTGTTTCTATTTATATCTGCCTTTGCCTTGGTAACCAGAGACTGTGTGAGGGATGCAGTATTTTCCCATCATGGATGTCTCCAAAATCCATGCGCAGACATGCAGTGCACCCAGTGTCTGCAGAGCTACCACAAGAACTGGCACATTCATTTCTAAGAGAGGATTTTACATATTAAGCAGCAAAGAGAAGATTGCAGTAAGAGAGTTATATTAGTATAGATTCAAAATAATTTGTACTCATTTCTACCTTACCTACTTTGTTCTTTGATCTTTTAAGTATTTCAAGGACCACTGCGCTTAAACACATTTTCTTAATCACCCCGAGCAGCTTACCCAAATCCGAGGTGGTGGGATTTACTCATAATTGGCTACATTATGCCTGCTTTATCAAGTGGTTGAATGAGGTAAGAATGGACTTGAATCGGTGTTTCTTCATACTTTAAATCATTCTTGCTTACCTTAAAATCAGCTGTTTCCTACTTCACAAGATTACCTGCAGCTTAGGTGTCCTTACAGCCCTCTGCTGTGCTCAAAAGCCAAACCAGGCTATGTTCTCACCACTGCACTGCTGTGCTGAGCTTTAGCCCTGCTGGGAGAAAGGCATTCCAGCTCTGGATATCTGTTTTAGGCACAATTCTGCGTTGTTGTGTTCTTCTTATCCTTCTACTGTCAGGAAAGGTAGAAGAAACCAAGTGTGTCCCTCTGCCACTGTAAAACCCAGGTACTCTAATTTCTTAGAAAATGGATGTGGAAAAATGAAGAGAAGGTAAACATAGGCTCAGAATGAATATGGGGGATCAGGGCCCTTACTGAACTTCTAGGGGACTTGCTTCTTTCTTAACAGCTTCACTACCCAGTTATGATCTGGAAAGTAATTTCTCATCTTCTGTCTAAGGCTCATGGAAGTCAGTGCCAGAGCAACTTTGTCAGGGAAGAAGGGGAAATATTTCTGGGAAGCAGGGCAGGATTGGTAGAGAACCTGCTGCAATCCTGAGATATTCAGGGATATCTGACTAATAAAATCACATTATTGGGATAAAAGCACTCACTGCATTGTCATCTTTGGGAACAATACATTTTCACAGGCAGCCTTTTTTTACTCTAGTTGCTATTCAGCTAGACACTTGCTCTTATGAAATACTGCAGGTGAAGAAAACTCATATGGGGACAGAAAGGAGGCAGCTGGGAGCACTGGAGCCCTGCCACACTCTTCCATATTCTGGTTGGAGATCCCAGGGCTGGCATATGGTGCAGGAGGTGGAGGTTGAAGCTTTCTGCCATTTGGGAGTTTCCCTCTATTTGCCTGCTGATGTAGTTTAGGCAGAATGTAGGTGACACAAAAAGTCATTCAGAGTTCTTGTTTCAAATGTAATGACTCTCATTGCTTTTTTTCCCACACTGCCTATATAAATAATTAAAAAAATAATCTAGATAATAGCGCAAGCAATTTCAAACTCTCAAAAGCAGGAATAGTGGCAAGGGACCAGCACTTTAGGACATAAAACCACAGAAAACTGAATCATCACACCTGTTCTGGCATGTTTATAGGAAGAAGTCTGAGTTGCCATAAGACAAGTATGGACTGGTTTGGGGCAAGTGAAATTTTGGGTTCCATTCTCCTACAGGAGCAGAACCCTAAAAACAAGCTTTACTCACTGTTACCCCTGTGCAACCTGTAATGATCCTCCATAGAGGTTTTCACGAATCTTGAGCCACTCTGTTGAAATTGACATTTTTAGATGTAATCACATTTGCCTTTGACTGCCAGATAGATTGCTGGTCCCTGTGGGAAAGAGAGAGGACGTTTCCTGGAGCTGGTTATGGTCCCGACCTCCGAGGGGCCGGCCTTGCCTTATCAGTGGTGTCACCGGGAGCTGTCATGGCACAGAGCCACTGGAGATGGGGCAGGGAAGATGTGTCCCCTGCTCCTCTCGGGGTTCAGGAGCCACTGGAGATGGGGGAGAGGAGATGTGTCCCCTGCCTGTGCTGCCCCGTGCTCCTCTCGGGGCTCAGGAGGTGGCTGCAGGCACTGTGCCTTTCTGTGGGGCTCCTGCAGCAGTGCCTCCAGGCAGCCAGAGCATGAGAGCTGCCAGGACACTTCCCCGGCCCTCCCATGGCCTTTAGCAGTCTTTGGAGCTAGTTCAAATAACACAGGAGAGGAGCACTGTGTTGTTTTGCCAAACAAGAGATTAAATGGAGCCAAAGGTGAAGAAACACTGCTGCACAAACAGCGCCGGGGAGCGTTTCTGCCACACGGCCAGCCGAGAGCAGCCCTGGCTCTGCTGCCTTGGTCGGAGCTCGACTGAGATCAGAACTGCTGTGCCTGCGCTGGGTACCCAGCGACTGAGGGGGCGCTTCCAGGCTGGGATGAGCCCTTGCGGAGATTTCGTGCCGGCAATGGAGGACGGGGCTCGCTGCGCTGCACAAATGCCTTTCCCGGGCACTGCCTTCCAACCCCCCGAAGCAAAAGCCCAAGGCTGGAACCGCAGGGAGGCTGCAGGGACAGCTGACAATGTCCCGCGGCTGTGGGGCCTTTCTCCCCGGACCTTTCCGCGTGGCAGCGGCCGTGAGCAGGCGAGGAGCCCCTGCGGGCCCGGCCTCCCGCAGCAGGCAGCGCGGCGCTGCTCCCCTCGGGCCGCCCCGGGGCCCTCCCCGCGCCCCCGGCCGCGGCACAGCCTCCCCGCCGCCTTGGCCCGCGCTCCCGCCGCGGCCGGGGGGCAGCATCGCTCCGGGGCCCTTCCAGCCCAGCCCAGCCCCGCGTACCCGAGCAGTGACCGCCCTGCCTCGGCGGCTGAGCGCAGCCGCTCCCGCTCGGGCGCTGCGCAGAGGCGGCCGCGGGGCCGCGGCGCGGGCGGAGCAGGCGGGCCGGGCCGGGGGGCCGGGCCTGTCCCCGCGGCGGCCCCGGGGCTCTCCTGCCCGCGGCGCGGAGCTCGGGCAGGGCCTGCCCGGCGGCCGGGGCCGCGCTGAGCCCGGGCTTGGGGCCGCGCTGAGCCGGCGGCGGGATGGCCTTGGTGCCCTACGAGGAGGGAGGCGGCTGGACAGCGCGGCAGCTGCACAGCCCTTGGGCCACCTTCCACTTCGCCAGCCGCACCATCCGCCTCCAGCAGGACTGGCGGCGCCTGGGGGTGGCGGCCGTGGTCTGGGACGCGGTAGGTGTTCATGGCAAGCGCAGCCTTTCCGCTCTTCGTGGCTTCCCGCGGCTCTTGCCGAGCTTTCAGATTCACCGTAGAAAATTATTTACCGTAGAATTGTAAAGGGAAGGCTTTTAATTTTTTTTTTTTTAATGTTAGGATAGAACATGTTAAACTGTGCTTTACTTTTCCCTCTTCCCCCATAAGAGATCCTGCAGGAATGCAAGAGAGATGCACCACCCAACCCCTGCATAGCCAGTGCCCAATACAGGAAATATCCCGGATAACTCTCACCTCTTTCTTTACAGTGGCTGGTGATGTTAGCTTGGCACCTTTCAGAGCACAGTATAGATCCCACTGCTTGTAGCCTCAAGCAGGGCTGCCGATAGACTTTATCTTGGGGATAAGAACCGTCCAAAACAAAGGGGTTTGTGGTGGATCCAAGGCCACAGCACAGTCACTCACAGCATCACTGCAGGAATCCAAGGGCTTCCCATCAGGGTGGATTTCAGTCCACACACAGATTGCACTTTTACCTCTAGTTTAAAAGCAGAAGTGTAGCATTTTTAGCACACTTCCCAAATGAATTGGTGTACCGGGTTGCTGATCTTTCTGGACACCAGCTTTGACAGAACTTGCTGTGGGGGAGATCCTTCTCAAGATCTATATAACATATAACATGCTGTATACAACCAGCTAGAAGTGTCATTAGTTTACTTTCCCTGTGTCCTTTCTGATGGCATACCAGTGTTGTGCAGAAACCTTTTGAAATATCATACAAGCTACTATGAAACCTTATTCTGGACTTTTGCATTGCTGGGTTCATTTGCTAGTATTTGACAACCCCTCAAACTTCCTTTGAGGAAATTTTTTCCAGATACAATAATTGTATCCTTTCCAATACAACTTTTCCTTTCCAAATACAACTCTTTCTACCTCCTGTTATGTTTGGGGATTCATGGAGCAGTTACCACATCCAAGCTGCAACCTCTGTGGTTCTTTTTTCCTTTTGCCAGTAGGAGTCTTCCATAAAACTCTATAAAAAAACTTCCATAAAGCACGAAAAGACTATGGGTGCACCCAGGAGGTGGAGAAGTGCTGAACAAAGTTTGCTGCAGACCTGAAGCACCTGACCCTTCACATAACCTTCTCTCTCAGGTTAAACCAGAAACCCTGTGCCTAATCGCCCTTCTCTCTTGGCTTAGGCTGTTATTCTGTGTGCTTATCTGGAGATGGAAGGCATTGATCTCAGGGATCGGTCTGTGATTGAGCTGGGAGCTGGAACTGGGTTGCTGGGAATAGTGGTCACGTTACTAGGTAAGGGCTTTTTTGTTGTCTCTTTTAAAGCAAATCACAACTGTAGTAAAACTAGCTCTTTTACATGTACATGCCTGGTGTAGAAGTGAGCACCAAAGCTGCACGTGTGAGCCGTGATGGTTCACTGAGTCATCTTCCTTCCTTGTTAGATTCAGAGCCTGCTGGGTATTTGTTGTAGCGATGGTGCCCCTGCAGTTTACTTTGTGGCGGGAGCCTGTTGAGGCTGCCGCCTGTTGCCATGGCAGGCAGCTCAGCAGCATTCAGCTCTGCAGCTATTCTCCCCAGGGACAAGAGCTGTGCTTCCCCTCTTCCCCTTGTCCTCCCATGCAGATAAAGCTACAGGCAGAAACCACTCTCCGAGCTTGCATAAGCCTTTCATTAGCCTGTCTTGCACACAGGGCATGGAGAAATGAAGTGATTTGCTGCTGATCTGTCTGTGGATGAAGCAGGAACTGGGTACTGTGTTAAATTTGTGCAATCTTTCCCAGGTTAACTTTGTAATTCAAAGCTCTAGTGGCTGTGAAAGGTGCCTATTGAAATCATAGAAAGAAAACAGTTTGACAAAACAGTCATGCCATGAAAAATCATACAGGCATAACTTTTGTCTGACCTATGAAAGACGCTCTCTAGCTGCCTCTCTCCTACAGAAAAATCTGGAATTGGAGCAGGTTCATTGTAACACCCCCTGTAATTTATTCTTTTGTCGCATATAGAAAGGCCAAAAGTAACTCCTTGACTTTCATGCATTAAGAAAAAGCACCAGAAAATATGTTTTTTTCCCTACCCAACTTAATCTTCACATAGAATACACTTTATACTCTTAAGTGACTGATGAAGGGTAGGATGTCTCTAGACAGGGGGGTTTAGCTTATTTTGTTCTTTTATTTGTTTGTTTTTAATCAGGCAGCTCAGGGGAGCTGTTAATGTTTAACAGGACCTAAGGAGCCTGCTGGAGTTAAGCATTGTATTCCACATGCTGCATTGAGGGATGTGGATTGTGAGTGTGAGCCATGCCCTCCTGTCCCCTTAGGTGCCCAAGTTACCATCACAGACAGAGCAGCTGCACTGGAGCTCCTGGAGTCAAACGTGCAGGCGAACTTACCCCCTGAACTCCGTCCCAGAGCGGTGGTGAAGGAGCTGACGTGGGGAAAAGACCTGGATAACTTCTCTCCAGGAGCATTTGACTTAATCCTGGGTGCAGACATTGTTTATCTGGAAGAAACATTTGCAGAACTGCTGCAGACGCTGGAGCACCTGTGCTCGGAGCAGACAGTGATTCTCCTCTCCTGCCGCATCCGCTATGAGCGCGACCTCAAGTTCTTGAGGATGCTGAGAGAGCGTTTCTCTGTGTCTGAGGTCCACTATGATTCCAGCAAGGATGTTCATATCTACAAAGCACAGAGGGGTAGTCGCAAGGATGACTTGTGACTCTCTGCTTTGTTAATAAGCCACTGATGCTGTTCAATTCTCCCCTTTGTTTCTACTCAATACACTTGTTCCTAAGCATGAAGTTGCAGTTGTGTTATTTCACTGGCTTCTTGTTCTGATGGTCTTGTCTGATCACTGGGTCTCATACAGCAAGGATTGTACCTCTGTTCTGCATATTGAATCTCTGCTTCATATCTGAATAGAGTCATATCCAACATCAAAATTGTTATATCAAAAGGTCTTTTGTCTGAAATCAAACGACATTTAACTTCTGGGGGAAACTTAAAGAGATTACAATTGTTTTTTTTCCCTTTATCGCTTCCTTAACTCTAGAAAAGTAGGAGAGTAGGATGAAATAAAAGTAGGACGAAATAAAAGCTAATGCTCCAGCTCTAAGTGCTTTAACTCTTCAGGACTTCTGCATCTTAGAAGTCGTGGTAAAAGAAACCACTTAAAAGGCAAAAAGAACCAAAGGCAGATGCTATAAAGTTGTTCTTTTGCTGTCACTGCTGCGTTGAGGAGGCACAGTGAAACAAAGACCAAAATCTGGAGGGGCCTTGGGAACAGGGGTTGCCAAGTAAGCCAGCTTAAAAATCAGTGTTATTTTAACCTGATGTGCAAATGAGTGGGCTACACCTGCAGTACTGAAGCAGTTGTGGTTTCTGAGTTGTCCCTAACAAGTCTGCCTCATACAGATCAAGGCTCCTTGGAGGAGATACATGTGCACATGTGCCGCTGGGAAAGTGCAACAAGGAAACTCAAGCTGTTCTTAAAATATCAAATCAGCCCTTGACTCTCAAAGTACCACTAGGTAATGTTCTACTTTGTGCCTTTGTTTGTGCCTCTGTCTCTGAGGGCTGTTACTTAGGGCAGGAGGGTGCTCTGTAAAGTCTTTGCAGCAGGGGAAGTACTTACTCTTGAATTACTTGGGACCTTGGGGCAGTGTCTAGGTTTCAGAGTGCTTTCAGTGCACAGTGGTAGTTAAGACACTGCTCCAAGCAACAGATTTCATGCCTTGAGCTTGTAAAACACATCTGTGTGTTTATCCCACAAGATCTGGGAATCCATCTCACACCAGCAGCAGACTTCCTTCTCTTTCTAGTGGTGGAAGAATGAAATTGATGAAAACAATGGCTAACAGAAGACAGCTACACCTCTAAACGCAGGAATTGCTTTAGTACCCTTTTTTTTGTGTGTGGATGTGGAACTTTTTTTGCTTTAAACTTAAACTCAAAAAGCCTCAGGTCAGGCTCAGACTTTGAGCATGTGTAGGTATTTGGCACTGGCAACAGCAAACGGCTTAGCAGAACAAAGCAGCTTTGGGCCATGGGAATTTTGGAAGTTTTTGTCACTTTTGCTTCCATCATAGTTCCTGGTCGGTGGTCCAGAATTGCTGTGCTGACTGTAATGTGGAAATGACTCACTTGTCATTAAGGTTTGTGTTTCATCCCTGGCACATCTCTTGCATGTTTTCAGCGAAGTTCCTTGCTTGCCTTGGGACCCGTCTGGGAGTTGCTGCTCTGGAACACTTGCTGTAACAGTATCCTCAGAAGCCACATGGTGTCACTAAAACAGTGCTTAGGCAGCTGGCTGGGAATGCGCAGCCTGAAACTGGAGTTGGAGTCAGTTTGGGGGAAGGAAGACAGCACCTTTAATTGAAAACAGATCATGAGATGAGCTCTCATGTGTCAGGTGTAGCTCCTTCTGTCCTCTCAGCGGGGTGAGCAGTGGTTGAAAAGAATTATGAGCTCTCCCCCCTCTCTCTGGCTCTAGTTTTGGAAGTGTGGCTGTAAGTTCTCACCTCTCCTCTTCCTTTTCCTTTCCCACTGGTGTATCCTTGTCTCCAGACTCACCAGGGAGTAGCCATTAGGCTCATGTGTGGCTCAGGCTCCCCTTGGGCTGGAGCTGGCAGAAAGCAGTGTGCTGGTGCCTGGGCTCGTGAGTGCCCAGGGGAACTTTCCTGTGGGAAAAGCCTGGCAGTGCTGGGCCCTTGCAAGAGGCTGGAGCTTGCAGCACTGACAGCCATAGCAGCTTGCACTGTTGCCATAGCAGGAACATGCTAAAAATTCTGCTTAAATAGCACAGAATAAAGCACAGAATAAAGGCTGGTGCAGCAACATGCACACTTCTAAGAAGGGGGTTTTGCCCCAGGCCTTGCTTTGGTGATAGAAACAGTTTTGTACTTTTAAACGAGTGCAGTTTAATTCCATCTAATAGTTAAGTTTTCAGTGTCAGATACCCCATTGCTGGTGTTACAGCCCACAGCCATCCTGCCAGAGCAGGGACGTGCCAGTGGAGACTGGGCTTGGCTCCTTTCTCTGTGCTGCTGTTACACAGCAGCTGCATGCACGCCCAAGGGAGTGTGCTTGAAGGCTGCAGTGATGCTACTGCCCATAAATAACTGGGGAAAAGCACGAGATGGCACTGGCAGCTCAGGTGAGTGCCTTGCCCCTGACCTGCAGAGCTCTTGGTGGCCCCTCGCCAGCCCAGTGAGTGGCATCCCTCAAGGGGACACCTTCTCCTCTGACTGCCACTGGGGCACATGTCCCGTTAGACTTAGGAATACTGCAGGAATACTGCAGTTAGGCCACAGCCATGTGCATGTCAGCTGTGGCTGCATTTAAAGCTACAGTGTTTAGGGGCAGGCATCAGCAGTGAGAATGTAGCTCAGCTGAAAGCCCAGTCCATCCTCCTGGGCAGTGCTGACACCCACGTGCACCAGGCAGGGAGTGCTGCCTTCTGTTGTCCCAGGCTGGCTTCACAAGTGCCGTGTGTTCCCACCCACTTACCTTCAGGGAGAGGTCAGCAGTGAGTCAGGCTGCAAGAGAATCACGCCAGGTGTGCAGGACAAGCAGCAGAGTGTAAGGGCTGGTGAGGAGCATAGGGAGCAGCCCTCGGCAGGGACACCTGCAAACTCCCAGCCCATGGGTCCCACCGGAGCTCCTGCTCTACTATGAGATGATGCATGACAACAGCTGTTGCCAGCAGCTGTTTGGCAATTATACCAACACCCTGCCCAAGCACTTTCGGTCACCCTGTTCATCCCAGCACTAGAGAATCCCACTCCTTTGGGTGGTTCCATTGCACTGATCCTGTTTTGTAACAGGTGATCTGAGCTCATCTGTAGAAGGATGTGTTTGGCATGCATCCCTGAGTAGTGGGGCAATGCACAAAGAGTCTCCTGAGAAATTCACTCGCTCTAGGGAGTGGGTCCAAGCCACAGGGGAGCAACCAAGTAAGACACAACCATGCTGTGACACTGAGAAACCATCCCTGAAACATGTGCAAGAGAACAAGCTTTTCTGAAATGTCATTGCAGCCAAGGTAATGTTTGACTGACATTAAGATACATAGCTGACTACACAGGGATCTGTGTTACCCAGTTCTTTTCAGTGCAAAATTCAAGCCAAAGTGCATTTTTATCTCAGGGACTAACCCTGTTTGGGATTCTCTCACATTACTGTAGATTTTTCTGAGCAAGAATGTGAATGGCATTATAAAAACTAGAAAATCCCAGCTGTAATGAGCTGACCTTACTGCTTCCCCTTGACTTCACTGGAGGTGTGTTTACCTCAGTGCTGAATTTGTTCTCCTGGCTTCCATCCCAGTGTTTGGATCCAGCCTAGCAGATTACATAATAGGGCTGTGATCCTTGCAGTGTTTGCTGCCTTCTGTTTCTGTTCTGTTCTCAAGACCAGTAGTACATGGTTTACAGGAATGCCTAAAAGTGAGACATGCAGCATATTTAAACTGTGAAAGGCATAAGCTTTTCAAACATTGTTAAACAACAGAACTGCCACCAGAATGGGTACTGGAAAACAGGTTTAAAAATATCAGGAGGAAGAGAAACTTCGCTTTTCAGGACTTAACCTCTAACTAATCTAATCCAATTAAGATTAAAAACAGCCTTCTCTCTGGGGAGAATACTTTATGAATACTTAGGGCAGGGCACAGATTGAGATGATACCATAGACTACCTTTTCCCATATTCTTCTAGCTGCCATTTGCCACTAAATTAAATTAGAGTAAATGGAACACCCTGCTCAAAAAAGAGACTTTGTAGAGTTTTTTAAAGCATGTTTATGTGACTGCACATAAATGTTTGTGTAAAAAGGGAGTTATGACAGTTTATACCACAAAGGTTACAGTAAGAAAAAGCACTTCTTTATGACAATAATTCACAAATTCACAAGAATCACTTTAATATACAAAGCAATTACTACCATTCTGAAACACAAAGCAGCTAATATGTACATAGTGTTAATAAAATGCATTATAACCCAGTACAATTCCTTTTAAACACAGATAAAGCACAAAAAAAAAAGAAAAAAAAAAAGAAAAAAAAAACACAACAGGGATGTTTCTAGATTTTTGGGGAGATGTAAAAAAGCCTTTATTTTCCCCCAGTGATGGATTTTCATTTAGTCTTTTTAACTTCCACAAATATGTGGGAGTCAAGCTCAAATACCCTGTTCTGTGCTGACATGGTTTGGGTGAAGAATCAGAAATGCAGATGAGGTGAACATACTCTTTCCAGCTTACACTACAAAGGGAGAATAATACCCTCGCTCTGGAAGCTTCCCTGAAAAACATTGTGTCAAAACAATTTCAAATTATAAATCCAGAGTAGAAACAACCAATTTCTGAAGTGAACAACCAATCTGTGGAAAAAGTCTGTGGAGGGGCTGGCTGCCAACTAGCACCTCTTCTTGTCCTGTTCCCATCCCAACAAGTCCATTATAAGCAGCACAGTTATAAATCTCATTTAAACTTGAAGTTGTAGAACGTTTTAAAATTAAGCTTTTAATATAAATAAATGTAATTCAACACACAAAAAATGGAGTGGCACCTGGATAAAAACACAACTTGTGGAGAGCACCCAAACATCCTCAGTTGTTAAGAGTGGCCATTTCCAGATAAGCAACTGGCTCAAGGCCTGCCATCCCCATGCTCTCACTCAGCTATCCCCTAATTTAGAGGAATATGCAGCTGAGGCTGCGTGAACTGCTCGAGTCCTGAGTGCAGTGAATGCTCAGCTTATGGAGTGTGCCAGCCATGGGTCATGCCAGCCTGCCCCTGGCCCTTTCCCTGCCAGCACACAGCTCCCAAGGACAGCTGCCTGCTCCCGCCCCTCCTGCTGAAAGCAGCCCCGAACTCAGCACACAGCAAGTCACAAACCTGCACTGCAGGGCCAGAAAGCAAACAGGTCACTCCCTTCAATTTGTGCTATCCCAACTAGCCCAAGCACATCTCTCTGCAGGCCACAGCTTAAATACATTTTAAAAACACATTCCAAGGCAAAACACTTGAAATGCAAACCCTCTTTACACCACCTGGATCTGGTCCCTTTTCCCCAAAGATTCACACACTTAAGTCTATCTATCCACAGACCTGAACCTGCCACAAGCACACAGAAGGTGGATTTCAGCACCCTCTCTTCACCAGTCTGGCTCCTTCCAGACCAACTGAGCTTCAGGATACATTCAGGCTTTTATAAAATCAGCTAGCAAATTACACAGCTCAGAAAAAATGAGTTCCCAGGCAGACAACAGAGAACCATCAATGTACTGTATGCTTTTTAAAACCTGCTCATAATGACAGACTTCAGGGTTAAATTATGATCATTCCTGCTAAAGAAAGGTGGTTGTGCTGTGCTTTTCTTTTCAAGCAAGGTGACACATTGTCAATGTACCTTTACTTCCTGGTGTCAAATTACTGGAAAGCCTTTTGATTAATTTTCTTGGAATGCAGCTTGTAAAATCCGCAGACAAATCTCAAATTAAGAAAAGGGGAATAAAGTGGCTGAAAAATAGTTCAGCTTTCCTTCCAAATTAACCTCCCTTTCCCACATGGGATCACTGAACTAGTTCTACTCTAAAAATAATTTCACATCCATCCTCTACATACTGCTCCAGACACCACACGTTTGATTCCTGCCCCTCAGCTCTCCTGCCCTTCAGCAGCAATGCCTGCTGGGCACCAGGTGCTGATCTGCAACTTCAATTAGCCAAGGAGCCAACTGCTGTGGAGGAGTGAATTGTGTGCAGGCAGCAGGATCACAACAATTATGCCAGTAATCTTCTCAGGCAAACCAAATTTACCCTAATTTTTCTTTCTCTGTTTTGTTTGTTGTTTTTTTCTTTAAAAGTGCACATTTTAATTAAACATTTACAAAGAACATAATGTAACAAAAATAAATACATGACCTTTTGGTTGGATCATTGGCAAATGTTACATCACTAACTATGCTTCAGGGTAAAAAAATTACAATAAAAACAAGGTCTTAGAAAATCAATTAAATCCTCTATGAACTATCATAGATTTGCAACCACTGATATCGAACTTGCTTTGATGGGTGGATTTGTCTTTAAGCCACAAAAAGCACTGTCTGCCATAAATGAAAAAACAAAATAAAAAAGCAGGTGCCAGTTTTCACTAACAGATGTCTAGTTGCTGCTGCAGTTTACTGGAAGCCCAGATTTAAATAAAGCAACCTGTGGTACAAATTTAGGTCAGAAACTATCAGGGCTGTTTTTCCTTATTAAATCTTTTTTCTTTTTTTTTCCTGAGCCTCTTAATGATTCCAAACACCCCACCAATTTTCTGACCAATGTACAAGTACCAGAGAAGACAGTGATCTCCAATGCAAATGCCAGCTCCAGGCTAGCCAGAACTACAGTGTCTGAGCAGTCCTGATGAGCACAACAGGCTAAAATTGTGCTTTCAAATACAAGCAACGGTGCCGGCAACTACCCAGTGCTGGTGAAATTGCTGCCTAAGGAAGAATGCATCACCACTACTCCAGGAGGAAAACAGAAGTCTTACCAGTGGTTCCTTTAGAATATAACACCTTAACAACCTTTCCAAATGTTTTGCCTTTGATATATAGCTGCCAAAGAGAAAAAAAGCACAGAAGTGAATTACTCTGGGTGGTGGTGGTTGTAAAACAAACTGTTTACATAATTTCAAAAATCTTCATCAATAAAAAACAAACTTCACAAAAGCCACGAAAGATGAAATAAAATTCTTGAAAATGGGTAACTGAGAGACAGCACAAAACAAATCAGTAATTAAGAGCTAGAATAACGCAGCCCAGAGCTACTGGGGTGAGGGGAAGCTTTCACACACGCACACGCACATCCACACACACCCAGACACACAGAAAAGTAAAAATTCTTTTTCTGACCTCCATATACTATAATACTCAGCATTCCTGACTTAAAAGCTCTCAGAGCTGTAGATTATATACTGTGTGTATATATATATATGTACATATATTATACATATGTATTTTCCAAGAATATCTAAATTAAAAGAGCACCTTTGACAATATCTTAACTGCCTGATTGGTGCTGTTGTTTTGCAAAATAATGACATTACAAAAATTATATTTCAAACCAATTCTTGTTTATTATGAACGTAACGGATCTAGCCCTTTCTAACCCTCTCTTCAGGTAAAAGAGTCTATCAGTTCTCGAAAACTCACAACCGTGAGATATAAAACTAATCCTACCTCCCCCTTGTCAGCATCATTTCCATCCTACTTCCAAATGGCCTTAGTTTATAGAAGCTTATCACCCCAACCTCACTACTTGGTAAATAACATAGGAACGGATTCCTGTGTCATATTCTTTCCCTTTTTGGGTCAATATGAATAGTAAAGCATGTATGGGTAGCCTAGCCAGCCCTGTACTTGGTCTAATACATTTTTTATTATTGTAATCTATAATTTTCATTAAATAAATTTGTGTCCCATAATCCTCAGTGCAGCATAAATAAAAATAAAGATTCTTGCAGACCCCTATGTACTTTGAATTACATTCCTTTTCTCAGTGGAACTTTATTTGCTAATGAAGTCTAGGCTAAAACCACGACAGGCCACTTGCAGACCACACACAGACAAACAGGTAACACAGTTCTCCTCTCGCTGCCACACAAGTTTGCACAAACTGTGTGTTAGGAGAAGCCCACCTGGGCACCGTTTTAGGCTCCCATGCCCATTCAGCCCCCAGGCTTTGTGCCCAGTGATTACCAGCAAGCTCTGAACAGTGCTCATTACCCACTAGACACAGCTCTCAGAGCAAAACCTCACAGATTTTGCAAACAGAACAGCCTTAATGTGGGCATATACAGCTTTTTCTGTGTTCCTCAAAGCTGCAGGAACCATTCCATGTAACTGCAAATGAGGCCACCATGAGCTTCATGCTTTACAAGAATGACTCCTGTATTACAACATTTCTACTTCTGTACTCGTTGTGGAAAATGTAACCGTTTTATGTATTTGTATTCGCTGATTTTAAGAATCAGTTTTTATAAAAGCACTGCTGAGAACTTAGGGTCTTTAAATTTGCACTGCTAAACTAATATATTCATCTCCCATTAAATAAAAACAAAAAAATCAACTCTCTATGGCAGATAAAAATAGACCATTTATAAACACCCACAAAACTTGTGAAAGTGAATTATTTCATATTTCTGATGCTTATGTTTTTTTCTTGAAATACAAGTGTAATTTGAAATTCTTGATAACTCTAGATGTAACAATAATGCTGTAAGTTTAACCCTGCTCCTTTTAAATTAAGTCTCTTGGAAACTGAATGCCCCTCAAATGAGAAATCTTTTAATACTGCTTAGGTGTTTGAGACTCAACTGCCCAGAGTCTTCCAAGTATTTTCCTTATGTCACACTGATTGTACAACTGATTTTAGAAGCCTGTGTGTGAAATTTATCTTAAAAAGATATAGAGTGAATGGGAAAAAATATTAGCTAATACTCTGCTAGGCAAGGCATTGGTATAGACCAGAGCCTCATCCATACATTTCTATACATAAAAGGTTGACCAGAAGCACAAAGTAAACTTACTCCATCAAATGACCCGAGTTAACGCAGTGAGAGACTGGCTTCAGAGGGCCAGTACACAAACCACACATGATTCTTTTGGACACATTCATTTTGACAACTTCTTGATGATCTTTTCTGGTTCTTTTTGAGCATGATTCTTTTAAAGTCCTAATGCTTAGTACAGAATTTTTTTTAAATATGAACTACCTTTTTTAACACCATAAATCTGGGAAAGACCACAGTTCCTCAGTGCACAGAAAAAAACCTGATCTTGCAAACATCTGAGGCAAGCAAGTAATTTTAGTTGCAGGAATAGATTACTCAGTAAATCTGACCCTTTCCATGAAAAAATATCCCAAATAAATTAAGAGTTTAGCTAATCTGGCCAGGTTCAAATAATCAGTATTTTCCCTTTCAAAGCAAGAGTTGGAATATTCGTGTTTGAAGTCCTCTTGAATATTTGAGGTTGTCCTAGTAGTTATACTGAAATTTAATTTATGTATAGAAGGCAGCCTCAAAGTTCAAAAAAGAATTTAGCAAACCAGGCTGATATTCCTACTGAGCACAATAATTTCCATTGCATAAGACAGTGGTAGGGAAATAAAAACAACCTCATTGCTTGAGAGGACTTGGGACACAGACCATACTGTCTTCAGGGAGTAACTTAAGTGGAGTTGGCTATGCTTCAACTGCTTAGTTGTTCTGCATACAAATAGGTAGTGATTTAATGCATTACCCTTGTTTACTATGTGACTGTTTACAGAACATCACAATTGAATCTTTCTAAAAAATTTTCTTTCCCATCCAAATATAATTTCCCAACCTGTATCCTGTGAAGTTGGCGTCTGTTTTCTGTGCATTCAGAACGCTGAACGCACTTGCACACATAAGCTATGAGAATCAACAACTGACCAGTGAAGCTCATTTCAATGCATTTGTTTCTCAAGTATGGAGAAGGTTTTACTAGTCCGGGAGGGCTTAATACAGATTGCAGATCAAAGCCCCTCCTGGGCTAGTCTGAAGAAGGTCTGTTCTCTCCACACCAAGAACGTGGCAGTGAGGTGCCCTTGGTCTGGCGTGCTGCTCAGCCGTGTATTGGTACAGCTCAGCAGGAACGTGTCAAACCAGTGTGGCAACCACCGCTTCTTCATTGCACCACGCATGCTCCACCTGTGTGGCCCACTGCTCTCTGGACCAAGAGGCTGGGGTGGCTCTGTCTCTAAGGCAATGGAAAGAGCTCAGCACAAATTCTCGACATCTTTACAAAAGGACCCTCCCCACAGTAACTTCCCAAGTGACCACTGCTACTCCTTGAAGAGGATCGGGAGACGAGAGAAGCCTGTTCTTCTTCTTCACGCTGAGACTGATGATGAAATTCATCTTGTAAGGGGAGAAGTGGAGGCAAGTACTTGAACATTCACAGTTTGATGCAAAGCACAGATGAAGTATATTCTGTAGTTGCTTCAGGCAGTTTTGCGCATAGAAAAAAAGAAATGTTTAGAAAATAAAAAGTTTACTTTGTCTTTCTGGGTATAACCAGAACCAGTCTCTATCCCACCTGGACAAGTGAAAATGAGAATCCAGAATTAATCTGATTTGTGGCAGTAAAGGTCCTTAAGTGCTTTCAACTCCTCAATCAGTGTCTTGTTTTGGTTTTCAAGCACAGCCACTCGATTTTCTAGACATTTCACATACTCCTTTTTCTTCCTGCGACATTCACGTGCTGCCTCTCTGCAAAGCAAAAAAGGCCATTCAAATCCAGAACAATCATTTGCAGACACGGGCTACCTAACTGCTTTCAGGCAAACCTTTACTAGTGCTGCCATTTTCAGAACATGGAGGTATTGCTAAGAAATGCAAGTGAGGAAAAAACACTGAGTTCATAGCAACTGCTCCTCACAAATCACACACACTCAAGATCCACGCATCATTTCAACATACAGATCCCAGTAAGACTGCACCAGTAAAATTATTATTATTATTGTGAACATAGGCTCCTAATCAGGGATAAAATTTTGCTTGCAGGATTCATATTGGAGCCTTTAGGCTGAGTAAAATGCTGCTGCAATAATTTGACTGTATTATAATCTTTTATGCTTTTTACAGTCTTTAACCTTTCCCTTTGAGCAGTCCAACAAGATGGATCAACTAGTGTTAAAATGTGCTGTATTTAGAGCAATCATGTATTTGCTCTTGAGCAATGCTTTCATTTTAATAATGATGTCTGCATCACTGCAATGATACTATTAATGACTCAAATAAAAATAAAAAACAAAAAAACATGTCATTCTTTAGTCCCTGTCAGCTATGCCAAAAACAGACCTCAAGACAGTCAAACTTCTAAGTCTTGCTTGTAAAGAGTGAGCTGCCTGTAGGTAACTTGGTAACATACCAAGACCACCAGTGAAAAATACCAGAAGGTATTAATGTGCTGCTGAGCATCCTGAAGCAGGAACAGCAAGGCAGGAACTACCCTGCACAGCAATATAATGGCACCCACATGCAAAGCAAGCACAAGGCTAAATGCCATGGGCAGATGGGAGCCCAGGCAGAGGGCTCTGCTCCTGCAGTGCCCCTTGTCCAAGCAGCACTCTGCAGACACAGGGAAATAAACACTTATTTGCCCTGAACCTTTAGGTGCAAAGCAGAACAGCTCCAAAAAGAAGAGTCTGTGTGCCCCTTCATTGCAAACACTGCACAGACTGGTGAGACAGTCAGTGTTCTGGGAAATGAGAGGACAAATCAGAACCCAGTTCCTCCCCTTATTAGATAATTAGGAGCTGTAAAAACAGAATGCATTCCAGGACCTAACTGATAAGAAGCCTCTAAAAGTAATTTCTGAAATTCAGCTCCACAAATGAGACAGGATGAAGAAAACATAGCCTGTAAGCCCTGAAAGGACTCAGGAATCCATTTGTCACTCCCACAAATACAATTTCGCATGCCTGCAGTGCTTCAGTAAACCATGTGTAACATTTAGAATTTAAGTAATTTTGGGCCGTTAGCAAAAGATTAAGTACTAAGGGATCAGGAAGTGCCTCCCAGTGCAAACTACTAACAAGTCTCCTTGAGTCACAACATTTTCTTTCTGTGATTTTTTTTCCCTTTAGGCCATGTATATTAAGCCACCTCAAGTCTGTGTGTGCTAGTTGTTTATTATGAACAGCCAGAATTTTACTGAATTACAACACAGCTTTAAAGATGTAAAATTTATACAGAAAATTTGCACAATAATATCTATGAATATTTACACTATAATCCTCCAGTAAGTACCACCTTACCATCTGCCTCGCTATCCTTTTTCCCTACTTTGCTATGGAGCTTAGATTTGCAAATATCTATTAAGCAGACGGGCTAAAAGCACCACATGCATCATGATACTGTTGCAAAAGCTGTCAATTTAACTCAAGTGGGGTAATTCCCCATTGTTTTTCTTGGCTTTCACAAACACAAAAGCTTTCTTTTACTGGAATAAGACTGATGACTAAATGAGGGTATTCTGTGATTCTAATTAATTTTTTTTTTCAAATGCAGAGCCTGAAAGAGTGATATCCACTATTCACTGGTACGAGAAAACTATATAAAAAGGGAGATGGGTGACATTCTGTACAAAAACCTTTTAAAAAAGTGACCTCTGCTGTTCAGCATTATTTATTTCATTAAAGCCCCTTGTATAAGCACTGGGTCTGCTCAAGTTTCCATTATGTTCACAGCACAGCAACCTACAGAAGAGAAATGAACCTGCACAACATCAGTTTTTTCAGACTGACAGATGAAGTTAACAAGGTTTTCAGGGGGCTTCCCCTGCTCAGAAGGGTGGGAAGCACTGGATTCTCAGTGTCACAGTAGAACACACAGGTTTCAATCTGTGGCCCATGGGTAAGAGTTCAAGCTTGGTGTGATGGGCCAGTTCAGGCCCACCCCTTCCCATTCCCACAGCAACAGACTTCAGGAGCTCAACTTCTCCCTACAGCTCCCTTCCTTTGCTGCTTTCACCCACTCCCATCTCTAAGCTTACACTGGATCCTACAGGATCAAGTCTTTACCTTTCTTTAGCCCCTCTGCTGCCACTACTGGCTCCACAGGACTTCAATCAAAGGGAATAGCTGCTCATTTAGCCTTTGCTTGAGCCTTTCAGCCCCTGGAGGAGAAAACCCAAAGCGGCTAAAAGAACAAGTGAGACAATCAAGAGAGTACTCACGAGGAGCACACGTGGGCCAGCAGCAAGGCCAAGGGAGAGAATCCAGCAAAGTAACCACATGAATGTAGTAACTCAAAAAAAGCATCTTGGTGTTTGTAAGAATATCTTGGTGTTTGCAAGAATATATCTGCAGTCATACATGCAGCATCTCACCAAGTGCTTTTCTCCTTACGGCAACAACCAAATTCACACACCTCACAGAACAAGTCTGACGCTTCACTCAAGGTTTCACGGTCACAACGCACAGCATTAGTAGATGTGCATTTCTGCTTTGCATTTTTAAATAAAGGCAAATTCTTCATAAAGCATTTCATAGTATGGCTAAGAAAGATGAGCACTCTCAGCACTCGACACTCTGGGCCAGTGCAGAGCTGCCTGGGCAGCGGCAGAGATGTGAAGGTACGTGCCTGTTCTTCATCAGACGCACTTCCCTCTTGCGCGCAGCCTCCTCTGCCGGCTGGGTGGGCAGCGCTGGCGAGGACGCCATGACCACTCCTGGAGCAATGGTGCTGGTCGGCGCCGTGCGGATCTGGTAGGTCTGCACGTCTCCTGAGGCAGCTGCAGGGACACAGGCAACGGGACATCAGCCTAGTGACAGTGCTGTCACACGTGCTGTGGAGAGCACCTGCTCACCTCTCCTACCTGTCCTCTCCCTGACACAGTGACCCAGCCATCTCTCTGTGACCCAGCCATCTCTCTAAGCGTGCAGCCCAGGCCACAGGTCAGCAGGGACAGCCATCATCTGGGTCACCACTGCCACCTCAGGCTCCCTTTATTCATATATGCAAGGTTTTGGCCATTCCTGCTGGAGAAGTCTTCACTTGTGCTTGGTAACTTGATTGGTCTTGCAGTTTAGCTGTGCTTCTTTCTCCCTTATATTTTTTTGTACTGCTCTGGTTTTTAGGCAATTCTAGCATTTCTAGAGAAGGACAGGGTCACTATTTCTAGCTATGCTCCAAACATCTGCCTGGGAAAGGAGGAACTGCATGTGTAAGTATCTAACATAGAAAAAAAGGTGTAAAAATGTAGCATTTACTCGCACAAGAGATGGACAGTGCACTCTATTGCTTCTCTAAAATGAGCAAGGTCCTGGCTTTCTTTTACTTTATTAATTTTAATCTTAGGAGTGTGTTAATTTTGCCTGAGCTCATAAAAAACCACAATACCACCTAAAGAAATCATATGACCTTAAGAACACAAAAACCCAAAGATCAGTGCAACAACAGTACTCCTCTCTGCTATGCATTTTTACTGATGCCTGGTAAACTCTTCACTGGATAACTTTCAAATCAACTACTTAACAGTAGTAGAAGCAGGGGTACACCTCTGCTATTTTCAATAAAAATTTTGTAATAAACCAAAGTGTGTATTTTGATACAATAGGTCCCCACAACTTACTCTAAGCAAAAGTAGCTCTGCCAAGTTGAGCGCTAGACCAAATGATCACTTATGCACTCTCCTAAATTGTTCTATGATTCCAAGACTCACTGATTGAGTCACTCACTCAGGCACTACTTACAAAAGTCACAGTAGGAAGAAATTATGACTTACAATTGAAAAAAGGGAAAATTTACTAATATATTAAAGTGTCCCTTTAGAAAGAATCAAACATCCTTCTCTCCTGTCTTTAATGCTTGCTTTAAACTTCCTATTGTTGCACATATGGAAGAACTCAGAACTCTAAAGTTGTATTAGCTTTTGCAGAACATATTAAAAAAAATTGTGTGGACAAAATTCAGGAAATACAGCATGGAAAAGCAAAAATAAATATATTAAACCTCAAATATCCACAGTTTTACCAATCTAAAGGGAAAGGCTCCAAACATATGACAAACAGCTTTGTCCAGAATTTCAGTAATTTTATGGACTTATCTGTGCCAAAGCTGTTATTTCTGTTTCCTGACACATTTGAAGGAGTCAGGCTGGCAACTTATATCTGCACAGAGAAAATGTTACACAGAGTGAGCGGCTGTGAGGTTTCTCACCTTGTACAACAACCTGGTTGCTGGGTACAAGTATCTGCTGTCCATCTGTGGTCTGTGCATATTGTAAAATGGTGGTGCCAGGTTGGGTTGCAGCTGCATTGGTCATTGTCAACGTCTGGAGACCCTGTACTCCATCTGTGCCGTTGTTAGACAACTGGATTGCTCCTCCTTGGGTGATGGCAACTGCAGACCAAAAAAATCAATCCAGCATTTAAGACACTAATTCACTCATTAACTTACATTATTAAACCTAGGTATGGAAGAATACTGATCTAAGCTAAATCCTTTGAACCCTTACACACCCCGAAATCTGACACATGGCTTCAATGTACATGAAAGAAATCATCCTTTGAAAGGTAAGTTTTCAAATGTTTGTGAGGGCCAAAACACACAGCTAAAATACAGATTAGTTTCTCTAATAAAACATAATTACATGGAAGAGCTACAATCCACTCCCAGGGAATACTTTTTAATTTGTTAAGATTTTCTTCTTGGTTGGTTTAGGTATTTTTCTCAGTCTTTAGTTTTTCTTCTAATCTGAAATTACTCTCATCTTCTGTGCTTTATGCCCTTCAGTCTCCTCTGCAGCTAGTGCTATCCATCCTGTGTTTCAGTTTCTTCTTCATTTGGCTTTTTTTTCCTTCTGATTGTGTTCCCCCTTCTCTACAACTTCCTCAGACCCTTACTAGCTGTTTTATCATTCATAAAGGTACAGTTTGGTGCAGGCAGTCTTAACTTTCCTGGTTTTTTTCCTTTCTTTCCCTCAATCCTGTCATGCAGGTAAACTGGGCCATCAGCCCTTTTCAGTCACAGAATTCCACTGTGTTCCTATATACAGACACACCAAAACCTCAAGTGTCTGCACATGCAGTTATTGTACAGTTATAACAGGAATCAGAATTAACCACATCCATTTCAATAAAATTAAGCAGGGTACAAAGCAAAGGGGTTAAGGAGTAAACAGAGATACAAAATTTTAAAGAGATTTTAACAGACAGATATAAACAAGTAGCTCTTTCTCCCTTTTTTATGTGTTGTATGTCTCCTACTGTATGGTTAGTGTAAGCCAGCATGTGTCTTATCTTTAAGGCCATATCCTCAATCATTCTTCAAGTCAAAACACTGTATCTATAAAATCTAACACTGAAATATATACTTATGACATATATTAAGGTTGTCAACAATCATTTTTTTCTAAAAATGTAATTGCAGACCGTAATGCTTTTATTCTAATGATGAGGTTACAGCTTTGTGAACAAGTTTTAATGATCTGCCAAGAAAAGAAATAAACTTCTGAATTCCTCCATCTAGTTCCTGAAGTGAAGAAGTTTATAATAGCATTAGGGTTAGTTCCTGTTTTGCCTCAGGATGCATGAGCTGCACCAAGTGGCAACCAGTCCCAGAATGTTAATTGAGACTTTCAAACACTTACAATAGAAATATGTTCAAAAGGCCTGGTTAACAGTCAAAAAAAATTCTTTTTTTCACCTCCTGCCTTGCCCTAGTCCAAACAACAGTTACAGAAATAATAGTTCTTCATCTTCTCATCCCCACTTACTAGCACCACTGAGAAATTCAGACTACATACTGTACTGCCCACTGCTGGTTTGGTAAATGGGAGTTGGCACCGTAACAGTGGCGATGGCAGGTGCTGCTGTTTCCTCTTCAGACTTTTCTTCTTCGATCCTTGGCACTCCTGGGGCGTCTGAGGACAAGTCATTCAAAATTTTTCTGGCAAAGACAGTGTGTGGTAGAGATTTTAATAAAAATTGGGGGAGAAAAATAGTCTATCTGATACACAATGCTGGGGAAAACTGTGAAGTGCAGCAAGCCAGCAAGGAAAATATGAGTGGAGAATGAAAACCACACACTATCTTCAAACTCTTATTGGAGAGGATTGTTCAAAATGCCAAGCACTGATGGGCAGGGGAGCGAGCACAGAACAGCTGTGTTTGTCAAAACCCATGATACAGCTATTACAACCTTTCCTTCTTCTTCAGACCATGTTTCTCTCATCCATTTTTATTTGTTTCTTGCTTTTAGCCATATAAATATTTGGAAAAAAAGTCAGAACCTGTCTCCTCACTTACACTGGAGGAACTGCTCCATTTCAAAGACTATAAACACCTCAGCCAGAGAGCTGAGAATCAAGGGAGTTAGCAGGAATACTTGCAGAGAGCCAGCAGTTCATAATTTAACACCTGCCTGGGAGACAATACCCAGTGTTTGAGAACAGTCTCACAGTTATGTTCACAGGTGCCCTGCCTGAGGAAGTTCATGGGTAAAGGAAAGAACAGATTGTTTCATTATTTCCATGAGCTAATTATCCAAAGTCAAAACTTTTCAAACATCACTGCTACAGGTCCCACTGAACATGACTGGAGACTGACTACAGCAGTCACTGCAATTTGCATCACTGAGATCAAACACTGTCCTTCCTCAGAGGACTGTTAGGCTCCTGTCACTGCTGGCATATTCTATTATGGCACAGCAAAATGCAGTAAATGCCCTTAGGTAAAGGGCAATATTTTTTGTAATTCTCCTCCTATGTTTTCCGGTGGACTGGCAAAGGAACTCGGTGGCAAAGCAAACACAGCTGTAGACCCCAAGTTCCAAGACAACACTACTCTCTTAGATGAGCCTCCTAAGGCTGTGTGGGCCAGAACACCTGCATGAAGCTATCTGGGGGGGAGAGCAGTCATTCTGCTCAGCAGCCTGAGCTTTGCTGACAACAAACAGAGCTTTGCTGTTGCTGTTTTGACTTTGTGTGCATGCAAGAAACCCCAGCACTGGGCAACACTGTATGAAGAACCACTTGGACAAATAAAAAATTCCCCATCCAAAGAGTTTGCAGTCTAGGTGTTAGATCAGAAACTAGTGAATGAAACAGATGAAAAAAATATGGAGAAAGCCGGGATGATGAAAATCCAAGGAGATAAAACAATCACTTTTAACCTCATGTCATTATTACATCGTGGTTAAAACCTACCTTTGCCAACATAAAATCAGATTTAAGGTAAAGGATAAGGTGGCAGCTTTACAAATACAGGAGCTATGAACTGAATACATGATGTACTTGAGTGGCAGAATCACAGAGGAGTTTTTGTGGAAGAGGTACAGCTTTCAATTCTGTGGACATATCTGCCCCTATCTTGTTTTGGGCCATTTACAGCAGGTTGAGTAATGCCAGCTGGGAAGTCTCTAAAGGCAGCAGTGGTCTGGCTCAGCCTTTCTGACCCAACCACCACCAGCCTGGAGTCTGAGCTGCATATACAAGTTTTACAGCTAACAAAAGTTGCTGTGTCACCATGATCTGGTTTGAAGACAGAGGCTGTGTTGTGGCACCAGTGCATGCAAGAGAGTCCATCTCAATGAGAAGTCAGCATGCACAAGCACCCTCTTCTCAGTTTTGCTGCTTGTTTACTTAGCTCTGTTTTCTCACCATATACAGCCACTCTGCCATATATAGTAAAATCAAGCGTCTTGCTGCAGAAGCAGACTGAAGGGAATCTGTGGCAGCCTTGGAGTTAACACTGCTCCTCACAAATAAAAATATTTTTCCAGATCTATTATGGCTAGGGATCTTCAGCAATGATTTTCACTATCTTTGGCAGAACAGCCTTGAAGGCTGCTGGACAAGGCAGACAATCTCCCAAGTGTGCTAAAAAAGTACCATGGTTGAGATATGCTCAGGCCCACAGCCCAGCTTCTATTTCCAAGACTATGCTCATAAAGGAAAAAGGAGCATCTGAATTTTCTAAAGCAGCAGGAACTCATGGGTCATTTAAAACCTACTGAACCCCAGAGCTGTTCCTTAATGCTATTTAGGGTATTTTAAAAATAAAAGTGGGATTTAGTACAGACACAAAAGCTGTACAAAGGCTTAATGAATAAAGTAACATGACACACCATGTGAAGGAGAACCTTAGCTGGTTTTGCCAGAGGTATTTGCCATGAAAAAGAGACACTAGATACCTTTCACTATATTCAACTCATATACTGACTTAACTTTAAACACAAACTATTTTGCTCAAGCAGAAATTCTCTCTGAGCTGTGGAACATCACAGCTTCCTTAAGTCTCATGGGAGAAAGGAATAAAGTTTGATTGCTGCTAGCATTTCAGCAATAATGAAAACCAGCAGAGCTGATTTTTGCAGACTACAGATTACACAGAAGTCCCTTTTTGCAAAGCTTCAGTGTATTTTGTATATTAAGTATTCATTAAAGCTATTTCTAAGGCATCTATCACAATGATAACTCAATTTTCTGAAGTGTGGAAACCAGCATATTCTCAGCTCACTTCTGTATTAATTGAGTGTAACTGTTGTGGTTTCTTCCTTCTCCTGCTTATCTCTTTGCATCCTATTCTACAGATATATTCCATATTCCAATTGCGAGACATGATAGAAGAGAGATTTCAGTTAAATGGTAAATCTAAAAATAATAAAAATACAATCCCACTGTTTGTATCTCCATGTCAACACACCCATCCATCAAGAAATGATTCTGCTTTAAGCTCCATACCTGTAGGAGGGTCGTCTGGACAGGATTTCTCTTCGTTTCTGTGAGTCTGTGACACTGTCTACTGATTCCTGTGAATCTTCACTTTCTGCTATAGTGGAGATCTGTAAATAAGAACAGCAATTAAATATAACAAGGCACTTCCAATGCCTTCATTTTAAGGAAATGTTGATATCCTGTGAAAAAACTACAATACAAGTGCTCTATGTAGACAACAAACAGGAAGTTACTGCTTAGTAATAGATCCACAAAGAAGGACCACAGTCAGTGATCTACCCATCAGAATGATCTTTACAATTTCAATACTCCAATAAGAAAACCTAAACATTAATACCATACAGTTTTTGCCTTCCGTGATGTTTTGTTCTCATCCATTGCAAGGAAACAAAGATTTTTTTTTTAGTAAAATTTAGGGAGAGAATAAGTAAACGAAATTAAGGTAGCAGAAACATTTAGAAACAAAGAATATAATAGTGAAAAAACATCAATTTATAAATAATGAGGTAGATATGTTAAAGAGACACTGCCTTTTATGGGGGAAATTGCCAGGAAAATGTCATACATGAAGATATTAAAAAATAATGTAGTGCTGCAATTCTGAGTATCTGTGCTAAAAAGGCAGAATGTTTATGCAGGAAAGCTAAAATAAAATAATATTAAAATAATTTGGATAATTTTAAATTCAAAATGTGCATGACAAAATATATAAAAGCTAATGATGCTTATGTGAGAAAAAGAGCTCACATCCTGACAATTTATGCACCGTAGAGAAGATTCTTAAAGGCTCAAAAATCTTTCTGGCACCCACATCTCACAATTGTCAGATAGAGGCCTGAGTAAGTCCAAGGCTGACTGTGAACTACTGGGCTCTGAATATCAAAACATAATGGATCTGCACTGAATCAGGTGAATTCCAAGAATGGCTTCATTGTCAGTGTCTTATCTTCTACCTCCAGGGTAGCAACTTGTGCACTTATTTCAAAACTGCTCACCTCTGATAGATTAAAACTCTAAACTTTTGACTGCAATGGCTGAGGATGGTAGAGCCTGCTACAAACTCAGCACTGAAGCTGAGAAGGAAAAAATAAAGATTATTATCAGAATGGTCTAAATTTTAAATTAAGTTTTAAATTACTAAGTTTTAAATTACGCATACCTTATTTTTAAAAATAATACCCAGTTGAATATCTCCATCAAAAAGTCACAATACCTACTTTTTGAAATGAAAAATTTTTTGAGCTAATTGTTCTAACAGCAAATGAATAATGTACAGTCCTGGTCCTGTGGTGTAGCTACTGTACACCAAAGAATTTCTGCATTCAGTAACACTGAACTTCAAGTGGATAAAAAGCAAGTTAGAAGTTGTACAGATTTCAGACTACTTGTCTCCTATCTTCAGGCTACCTCACCATATTGCATTACCTGTCTTGCTTCAGAGAAGAGAAAATGCTAAGGCTTCACAAAGCACACAACACTCAACCTGCACATTTTAAAACCATTTCTAAGTAAGGACTGATAGGTTTATTTTAAGAACCATAACATACAGAGACCTTTTTTGTAAACCAATGCCAATATTTCTTACTGAGTAAAGACTCTCATTCTAGGATACTGGTCTCATTAATTATGAAAATACAATATTAAAAAAGAAATATCATCCTTTTGTTCACTTGAGAATAGTATGAACTCTTACTCAATAAAAATATATGGAAATACAGTATAGAGAAAAAACAGAGTAATACTGTAGGAAAAACCATAAAGCTGCTAAACTCACCAAACAAATTCTAGAGGGAAATGAAACTCAGCAATGTTTGAAAATGAAAAGTGGTTAAGCCAGAAGAGAAAAAAAGTCAGAGTAGCAAATACTGTACAAATTTGCAAAAACACAACCCAGGACACAAATACAGTGCAATGACAGGCCTATTTCAAAGGCCCAATTTACATTTTAGGAATTTCTTCAGTCAGTACCTGAACTGTCTGGACCTGTGGAGACTGAATAACTGATGGCTGGGCAGCCTGAATCACTCCATGCACTTGAACCGTCTGCCCATTGGGCAGCTGAACTAAGGTCACCGTGGGGGCAGAAGATGTTGCATGAGCTGCTGGCATAGATACCTGCAAAGAAGAGACAGTGAGCATAAATTAGGTTATTGCAAAATCTCCTTAGTTCAGTATTTGTTTTGGTGAAAGAACTATGTCTTTTCTAGACCCCAGTCAGATGACCCAAATGTTTCAGTGTAATATAAAACCCCCTGAACTGCCTGAGCCCAACACCTGACCTACTTCACAAAATAATCTAATGCAGAATTTCTGCAGGCTCAAACATAATTTGTAAAATCACTGACAAGAAGAAGAAAAACACAACTGCCTCTATTTTGAGGTAACCTGGTACAAATACATCATTACCTTTCACTTACTTCACTTGGATACTGCTCAGACTCGGGTGTACTCCTACAGACACTGCTGAGTCAGAGGCAGAAACATATGGGAGTGGAGCTATATTTGTTCTCACTCAGGAAAATGCAAAGAATTTGCCAGATGTAAGAACTTAACATTTTTAGGGAATCATACCTTTCACTTTCTACAGATTAAGCCATATGAGTAGCTGGCAAAGTGCATGTAAATGAAGAAAACTGACCATGTGTTCCGACAGAAAAAACCCGTAAGTTTGCAGTGGAAATAAGTATTTTGCAGGCAGTTACTGTGATTATTGTGTAACAGGTCAACACAAACTCTACTTTCAAGAGTTATTTCTATGAGGAACAATTGCCCATGTTTTAAACACAACTGTTTCTCCAAGCAGACCTGCAGGCACGGCAGCCATGCCAACAGGGATACACTGATGGGCTCAGCATGGCACATTATGGCTTGGGCTTTGGGGACAGCAGTAGCCACACACTGCTCATGCCACAGGGCAGTCTCACCCTGGCTGGCCACAGGAACTACTCTGGGTAGCTGAGTGCCATGTGCACCAAGGCTGCTCCATGGCTGGGCACACGCCCAGCACATCCAGAACTTCCAGCTGTCTGCTGCCAGGATGCCTGGCTTAGGGGCTGGGGGCTCCTGAAAGGCTGCAGGGTGCAGCACACCCTGCCCCAGTGAGCATCCCTCCCACACCCCCTGGCCTCAGGGGAGGACTGCAGGCAAGCCTGAGCTGCTCTGGCAGATGTCAGCCAGGCCATGGCTTGCTGACTCACCAGCTCTCCTCTGGTCACCCAAGTCTGGAAAACCTAACAATGCTCCAGGGTTCAAGAGCATTTACAAAAATTCGATCCACATAGCTGCAGTGCAAGAAAGGGCTGCACTGCTGTCCTACCTCATCTCAAAGGGCTGCTATGCACAGGATGCAGAAGGAAATCCTTTGCTGTCCCTGTGAACACGTGATTCTCAAAAAGCTGCAATAGCTCATCTCTGAATTTTCATAAACATCCACCACTTACAATGAAATCTTGTTTAACAACAAAATTAAAGGGAATTACATGCAGACCTCTCTCCTCCACAGCTGTCTCTCCCTAATCCACCAATTTGCATTTGCTTGTACCTTCCTTTTTCAGGAAAGCAGATGCAGCATTACATGGTGCTACTTAACTTGCATCTGAGAGAAACTGGGCTGAGATTAACATGAGAGCCCTTTCCTTTGACAAATTATATTCCTTTGCCAAGTGACCTTTCTTAATAATGCACGTCTGACTAAACAGTCCTTGGCAATGACAGCAAAGCTGATCAACTGGAGGCCACTGTGGTTGGATTAAGCCCACAGCAGAGTGTAACTTCCGCACATGTCTCTGACTCATACCTTGTGGAACTGGGACGAGTTTCCTTTTGCCTCTGAAAGCTACCCTGAACTCACTAAAAATCAGCAATTCAGCTAACTTTGCAAGAGGGGTGACCTTACGAGAGATAATGGAAGAATTAAATTGATATAATTAGTTATTTAGATTTGGCTAGGCCTCTGAGTGCACTCCCTTATGCCAAACACTGCCACTTCACTTATTAAAAATATCATAGTAACATAACACTGATGTGAACAACACAAGGATTATGTTTAGACTGTTTTATCACCTCCACAAACTCTGCACAGGCTGGGGAAAAGACAAGGTGCAGATAATATAGTGAATGACAACATGGTGGTTCATGTGGATTTTAACCATACTTGTATAGTGTTTTCTTACTTGGGAAAAAAAGTCTCATTCAAGCACTGGGGTAATTATGTCCAAGTAAAGTGCATGCTACCCACTACATACTTTTAAGTTCAGCTCCCTGGAGGTTAGAATGTTAACACATAAATGTAAAACACTCTTGATTCTCTGGACTCAACCTTAAAGCACATCAAGTGAGCAGCAGTTAACTGGTTTTGCAGGAGAAATAAACTACTTCCACTCAGTTCACATTGAAGTGTTATTCACACCACCTACATCCTGTGCCTAAGTTAGACAGTGAGAAAACTGCCCAAAGAGGCAAGCTGGTGCAGGGCAGCTGGTGGCTTGTAAATTCACACTAGAGCTTCACCCAACAAAATCATCCTGTGCATTTAAACAGCTCCAATCCCTACACTACCACTTGAATAGAAATGTACCAACTCCAGAGGGCAGGACTTGTTTGGAAGTCTCTGGACTACCAAAAGGTGCAATGACTTTAAAAAGACACTAATCATTTATAGAAACTAAGCGACTTAACTGTGCCACTTAAAAGATACTCAATTCCATAAACTATGAGATCAAAATCACCTGTTTGGTCTTTGCAGACTACAATTAGTTTTTAAATTAGATGGTTACAGAAGAGAGCCAAACATATTCTGTAGCCATTCATACAATGGGGTTGCTTCTGCCAACCATCAGTGTATTCAAAAATGAAATCCAATGCCAAAATCAGAGATAGAGCTGGGATTGTGTTTCTTGTCGCTCCAAAATAATTTGGAGACAACAAATTATCTACTTCTGTCTCTAACTCTCCAACAATTCCGTCAAACTCTGGAGACAACAGGGTAACACAAGCTGTCAAGTGCCAGATTGTTCCACTTGATTGTAATGCTCATAATATTAATCCCATCTGATAAAATATTTTATTTGCTGCATTATTTATCTACATATTAGGTTTGCTTTCTTCAGAATTAAACTGACTACTACAGACAAGTTTTTAACAGAAAACACAACAGCAAGACAGTAGGTTACACGTATTGAAATGAATACCTTTCAGTGGTATGGTTGTGGTAAAGAATGCTAGAAATATTTTTATTCATTACTGTGTTAACATTATACACAATTTACACACATACAGTTCTCCAGAACTAACACAGCCTACTACTCTACTGTACTGCTTTAAAAATGTGAAGACAAATATGATAAGAACTATACATAACGTGTGTTTCAGAATGTTATCAACAGAATCTTCTCTCAGCCCCGTGAGCAGACATTATCCCTCTTAAAAATATTAACCACAAGTAAAACTATTACACCATATGATTTTTATACCTGGGCTAACGTTGCAATCTGTGGTTGTGCCTGTACTGTCATCTGTTGGGTTTCTGCCTCTGTACCGGCTGCATCTCCACTCTGCTGGTTCTCTGCTCCAGATTCCATGGTCATTTAGTTACCTACAATCACAATATTTGTTGTAAGTCTGGGTTGGTATGCAAGTCCATTACTCTTGGTGAATCTGGCAGTAATCACTGCAGCTGCATTCCCATTACTACATACTGTTTTAATTGGCTTATTAAATGTTGCCAAATTATTAGTATTCAGGCGAATTCTTTTCATGCCAGGTGTTTGCCTCAGGTTGATTTTTCTGCGTGTAATGTTTCTGAAAAACAAGCCCAGTCTCCTCCAACAATGAGAACAGGAAAAAAATGCATTTTGCTCATCCTAAAAAACCTGAGCAATTGCACTCCGATGACCTAGTACCTCTGCAATTTGGAATAAAGACCTGCCAGTATGTCAGGAAGGACACTCCCTCAGTGCCAAGGTGACAACATGCCCTGTTACAGCCCTCCCTCTCCCCCCAGCTGCAGATATCCAACAGCAATTGTTCCTGTGCTGGGCGCTCAGTTCTCAGTGGTCTTTGCCTCAACTAAATATGCAACATCTCCATGCAAGTTCTTTCCATCCCCACACTGGGTATGGCTCTACATCACAGCAACTTGGCCTCTTCCACCCAGTGAGTTTAAAGCCAGTATAGAAAATGATGGAAGCCATTTCTACTTGAACCTTACCACAAATGTTTTTATATTTAGAGGTACACATTAGTTTGCCATGACCTAAGTTTTTACCATATACAGCTCCTAATACACTGATATTTCTAAACACTAACTGAGCAAACCTAGATCACCAGAACATACAACTCTATAAAAAGAGGTTGCATAACTTCCAAACCCATGCACGTAGGCAGAGTGCAATGCCTGTTAAATTCTGCACCGATCTGAGAAAATCACTTTTCAGTTCTTCTTTAAGTACTGATATGAAAATACTTGATATTAAAAAGAACTTCAAAATACAAGGAAATTATATAGCAATGCTACTGTATTATACAGAACTCCAAATACCAAATATTAAGAATTAATATTAAGAATGGGTATTACCTCCATAGCCACAACACTTATTCTGTGCACCACCCTGTGCTGCCCAATCTATCCTGGCCTCTGGCTACCCCAGGGCAGCACACATCTCTTCAGAGCTGGTCCAAAACAACCAGTTGAGCATTTCTGCTTTGGGAAGGGGCCAGGAGGTAGAGGATGCTCAGAGCAGAAGAAAGGTGGAAAGAAGCAAAACAGCCCTTCTCCTTCCCTGGCCTCCTGAGGAAAAGATTTAGAAGCATCAAGACAGGTGGTGGTACCACGTCCACACTCCAGACATTTCATTTTAAACACAAAGTCAGGGAAGCTTCCATTTCAATGCAAACTATACCTCAGTGTTACAGGAAAGAGAATACCCTTTATGCTGCCTAAAATAGCAGAGTCACACTTCAACCCTGAATATGAAATGTCTTACAGTAAGCAATTGATCATCAAGAAAGATAAAACAGCTTTTCACAGTAGTAACTGCATCCTACATTGAAAGAAACCAAGTTAGTGTATATAAATAAAAATCTGTATATTTACTATTGAAAGTGACCATTCAAATGAGCTTCTGTGTGTGTCAACACTGAAATGTAAAGTATCAAATATTTAGTTCTAACATCAGTAAAGAAGGAAATGAATTAAACCAGATTTTCCTTGAAAATTAACAATAAAAGAAAACAGAATTTTTTTAAAAAGCAAATTAAACTATTCTAAGCAGTGGAATTTTGTTATGCCTCTCTCTAGCCAAGATTTCTGTACTACAAACCAAGTCTTTCCCATGTTGCATTTCATATTTCAAAAAGCACACAAGAAAACCCATGCACTATTAGTATGTGCAACACATTTATCCAAATAGCTTTTAAAGACTTAATTACAGTGGTTTACATGGTTTTCTATCCCAACTTTAACACACAAGTCACATTTTAACACTTAGTTCTCCATGATATATGCCCATTTTTCTTTTGAGTATTCTGTATTTTGAAAACTGCAAACCAGACTACCATAAGTCTCTCTTTGATTTTTACCATTTTAATATTCCTCCAAGGTAAGCAAATCAACAGCTTTTCCCCAATTCCATGCATGTATCATGGTGATTTCAGCCAAAAGACTACCTCATTGGAACCATTTCAGAAGCAGATCTTTCACATCAGCAATATCTCCCAGCCAAGTCTCTCCAAAGAACTTTTGAACACAACTTTCCAGCTACAAATCCAAGTATACTGCAAAACTAATAATGCTTTTGTTTGCTGATAAAAATTGTGACTCCAGCATGGAGTGAATTGGGATTAGAAATGGATGAAATGTGCAAGTATCAGGTACTTAGCAATGATCACAGAGGTAAATGTGTTGCCAAATTCCTGCTGACAAATGCAATGTTTTCCTAGGAAGAATTTCCAATCCTCTCATACACCATTCAGCAAAGGTCCTCTGTCTTTACAAGCTTGGCTTCCACACTTGCATCATCTTTTGCATATGTAATCAGTAAAAGGATTAATTGTTTGAGATACTCCCTCTTCTGCAACACCAACATTTCAGAAATCAAATTCTTAACATGAATTGCAAACACCTAAAAGGAACTTCCTCATTTTGTAATATAAGAACCAAGCAGTGCAGGAAGCTGGCTGCAAGATTTACATATTGACATATGCATTGAAATGAGCTTCCAACAACCTGCAGTTTTCTGACAAGTCTCAGTCTCATGTTATTTACAGGTTCTAAGAACTCGGGTTCAATTTGGCTTGTACTTATACATCACGGTATTTGCATTCTAACAGTTTCTCAACTACCTTTTACTGTAATTTGGGGAAAAAAGAGGAATCAGATTTTTGAGCATCAAGGCACCATATTCCAGAGACACTGGCCACTGCATTGTTCCATGTTTGGGTATGATCCAGATTGCCAAGATGTACAGGACCATGCACACAGAACACAAACACTTACTAAGTTGTGTGTCTGGGCAAGGCCATGACAGCTGAAATTAAGGTTGTCAATTCCTATTCTTGCAATTTACAGTGAAAATATGCTTGGTTTGAAACCTTAACCTCCCAACACATATAAATGAATGCCAATCTGTACATCTCCTTTCTAAGCTTTCAAACCCCTAGTCCAGACAAGCTTAGCTGATGCATATCCCAACATCTTTCTGTTCTTGTGGGTGCCACCTCCTCCTTTTATTCCTCCTGCCCTGTTCACAGTGGCCCACCCTGCTCTGTGGCACTGATTTTCCTGGCAGGCACCACACCAGGACTTCTCAAATGAAGAAAGGGATCTGAAAGTGTTCTAGTGGGGACAAGTTTCCAGGGCATGGACAGCATATGGGAGCCAAGGGAGCACACATCTCATTTTTCCTTGCTTCCAGGCTACTTTCCAACTTGTCAGGAGAGGACACCCACATGCACATACTTTGAGAAAAGATTCGTAACTGCAATATTGAACCAAGTATTCTAAATGAAACTAACTGAAAATAATAGCTATTAACAACCAGAGTTGGAAAAAACAGGGACTGCTTGCCTAAAACATCCTGGGTATGAACACCACTCTGAACACCAGAAAGCTGAGGAGACTACCTGGTTAGAGATGGTTCAACTCATGACTTTTGTAGTGCACAGCTTTCTTCATTAGTTCAAAAGTGGCAGCAGTATTATAGTTACTAATGCTTTTTCCTAATAACTTACTTACTAATGATCTCAAACTCTGGAAGCAAAGAGCCAAACAGTGAAAAATTCAGCTGAAGATGGGGATTTATTTTAGCTAAATCAAGACTGGGAGAAAGGAATTCAGCAGAGGAGAACTAACTGTCCCAGCTGAATTTACACCATGACCAAAGAAGACAGATTCTACTAAAACAAACAGTTGCAGAATGCAACTGAACTACACACACTGCAGAAAAATCCAAATAAACCTGTCTCCTTAGTTGCATAAGGCTGGAAGGGACATTTAGCTAAGGACTGCTGCAGAGAGATCCACTTCAGATTTCTCCTTGATAAGCATTTACAACAAAAAAAGCTAGAGAGTTAGCTTAATAATAAGAAACAACAATAATAAGAAACAGGGTAATCTTGATCTACTGTATTTGTGTAGCTGGACCCTACACATCACCTGAATTACAGTGCAGAGACTGGAAGCCTGTATTACAAATGGGTTCTGTAGAATTTGGGTATTCAGAGAAAGCAAGTATTTAGGGTAATGAAAACCTGTTTTATGAAGAGACTAGATGGATTTTTATTATTTATCCCAGAAAGGTGAAAAATGCTTCAGAATCATCTAGAAAATATATTTAAACTATTAACAGAGTAAGTAAATTAGAAACATGCACTGTCTGATTATAAAACCAGCAAAGCTTTAAGATGCCAAATTTTAAAAATGAAAAATAAAAAAATCTATTAAAATTATGAAAATTGATACTTCATGTACTACATAAATGGAGCAATGATGCTACTGATAAGAAATTTATTAAGACTTAAACATGAGTTAGGCACTTGGGTAAAAAGAGTATTCAAGAATATGTTGAATTAGTACTTTTTTTTCATGCCAAAAAATGCTGAACCAAAAGGAAGATAAAACCCTAATGAGTCAGGATTGAAATTGATTTCTAATCTTTAAAAATTCAAATAAATGCTTTTACGAGTGGGGAAGATTATATCCCATGTAATTTTTGCAGGTTCCAGTAGTCTTTTAAGGTACCTACTGATCTTCACTATCTTGAAGACAGGATGCTGAACAAGGCAGTACAGGTAATGCTAATCCTGTAATCCCAGTTAATTAAAGTGACCATCAATACTGTGCATTCAGAGCATGAGCTGTTAGTTACCTCCCCTCTCACCTGCCTAGAGTCAGGATAAAATATAATTGTCTTCCAACAGCTCTCATCTCATCTTCTTCGCTCTTTAGTATCCTTCCCTTGGGATGTCTGGTCTGTCTGCTCTATTTTGCTTCCCTACATCTTTTTCTATCTCCTGTCTAATTTACCCCCATGAATTTCAGCGTGTCTCCTAAAGATCAGGCTCTGCTCCTTGGATTCCCCTTGCTCACACAAGCCA